GTCTATGTGTCCAAAGGCATTCTCCTAGAAACATTGGACTTGTCAATATGCATTTAAGCAAATTCCAGTCTTTTTTTTTTTTTTTTTTAAACAGTGGAGCCATCCTGGGTCTTCTTGATTTGAGCCCTATGTCACTCAAAAAGTGACTGACTGTACAATCACCCAGAGGATATTGGCTATACTCCCTTAAACTTTAAAGGCTTAATTCACCTTTATAGAAAATTTGTAAATGTGACCTAACACTGGACCCCCTCTCCACCCCCCCTGACCTTACTGTACTTACCTCCTGGGATCCTGAGCTGTCAGGGCTCCTGCAAGCTGCTCCACCAGACAGGGATTTGAAATACTGTATCTTCTGCTTTCTTGCCTCTCTGTCAGTGTCTCAAGGATAGACCAGATGGATTCTGATTGGTCATCGCCATCCATGTGACCACATGGAGGTTGGACATAATGGAAACTCAGATCTCAGTGCAGCTCAGTAACATTCAGTAAAATCACAGGTTGAGTGTTATTGAGCTCCCAGCCTGTACAGTGCAAGTCACACAGGTAGGCTCAGCAGCTGAGTCTCTTCAGTGATGCAAAGGCTGTTAACATTTTAGGCTGAGGCCACTGACAACAGCGCTGATAGCCATGTCACTTGAGCTGACTGCCTGCATGTATGTGTGCATGTACAGACACAGATACAAATTCGGGCAGCATTACCTTTGCCATGGGAGGGACAGCAATAACGACCACCTTGAGCAACATCCGCTTACAGCATGGCTTTGCAAACAGAACAGTGGAGTGAAAGGAAGGGGGGAGTATTTGTAGTATAGTGGCATTTAAGTGAACCAGCACAGGTCCACTTAAAAAAATTATACTAAAACATCTTGCTGTATATTTCATCTGTAAAGTGTCAGCCTTTTGTTATTTTTCGATTTTGGAAAGGTAGGTACAACTTACATTCTTTGTCATGTTTTCACTGCTTTCCTTGTCTCTGTTGGGATTGTCTCTGTTGCTTACTTCCTGTCCCGTTGACATCCAGGTCTCTGTTGTGAATTAAGAATCTCTGCTCCTCCCTTTCCTGGACTGCATTCCTTAAATACAGTATTCCTTTGTAAAATGTCAATCATTTCTTTCCCCCCATTCCGCCTAGGAAGACCTCTCCAAAGAGTGCTATTGCTACAGCAAACTGATCCAATCCATATATAGCTCAGTTATTTTAAGGTTCATTCAATCTGGTATTTACATCAGATTAGGCCAATCAAGAGTGGATAGTTGCTGCAGATCACCAAGTGTCTGGCTTGGTATGGGGTAACCTAGAGAAATAAGTCCACCGGCCACTTTGTTATGTACACCTGTTTAATTGCTTGGTAACACAAATTGCTAATCAGCCAATCGCATGGCATCAACTAAACTGCTGATCTACTTGGATTTTCACACACAACCATCTCTAGGGAAATTGAGACTCATAAGACCAGGCAACGCTTTTCCACCCTTCTGTTGTCCAATTTTGGTGAACCTGTGGGAATTGTGGCCTCCTGTCCTTAACTGACAGGAGTGGCAGCCAGTGTGGTCTTCTGCTGTTGCAGCCCATCTGCTTCAAGGTTTGACGCGTTGTTCATTCAGAGATGATATTCTGCATACCTTGATTGTAACAAGTGGTTATTTGAGTTACTGTTGAATTTCTATCATCTCGAATCAGTCTGCCTATTCTCCTCTGACCTCTGACATAAACAAAGCATTTTCGTCCACACAGAACTGATGATCTACTGGGATTTTCATGCATAACTGTCTCTAGGGTTTACAGAGAATGGTCCGAAAAAGAGAAAATATCCAGTGAGCGGTCACAGGATATTTTCTCTTTTTCGGACCATTCTTTGTAAACCCTAGAGATGGTTGTGCATGAAATTCCCAGTAGATCATCAGTTCTTGAAATACTCAGACCAGCCCGTCAGGCACAAACAACCATGCCACGTTCAAAGTCAAATCCCATTTCTTCCCCATTCTGATGCTCGGTTTGAACTTCAGCAAATCGTCTTCACCATGTCTAGATGCCTAAATTCACTCAGTTGCTGCCATGTGATTGGCTGATTAGCAATTTGTGTTACCAAGCAATTGAACAGGTAGATCTAATACAGTAAAGTTGCCGTGAGTGTATGTCACCCAGGGCACGTAACGATCATGTTATGTTTGTGGTTAACTTTACAAATCTAATTGAGGCATTGTGTATACAAAACTGTGGGGTAGATTTACTAAAACTGGTGCACTCAGAATCTGATGCAGCTATGTATGATAGCCAATCAGCTTCTAACTTTAGCTTGTTCAATTAAGCTTTGGCAATAAAACCTGGAAGCTGATTGAGCAGCACCAGATTTTTCACTCTCCAGTTTTTGTAAATAACCCCCAGCATCCCTTAGGATGTGCACATTGGGTGTTTACAGCTAAAGCTGATGTTTTGTGTGCATAAATCTTACACTCCACTAATAACATATACTGTGTAGAAATCATTTTTTGGCTCCTGACATTCAAGGAACGGAATCAACCAAGTAAGGAGATCAGCATACAGTACATTTTTATTTTTAACATATGTACATTTATGCTTAAGGTATTGATCTACCCAGAAAGGATATATTAACACTTGCAGTTTTTTCAACAATGACCTTCACGAAAAAAAGTTGACTTTTGCAATGTCTGTTTTTACTGACTTGAAAAATAGCTATACATGTGGAAACTGTGATGTGTGTCAGCCAATCAGCTCCTAAAACCTATTTATGTTATTAAAGGATTTAATGTTAACTATCACCAATTTTTGAAAGATTACATGGAAATGTGCTTTGGATTCCATAAGCAGTAATACCTGGCATGAAGCCTTAGTGAAGATTAGTTTATGCAGCTGTTACATCTAGTTAGCATGAAAATACCCTACACTGGCACTGCTTAAAACCTTGAATATACAATTACAAAATGACCTTATACACTACACACTGCTGTGGTTTACTCTTAAAATTTGAAATAGTTTTACCTTCTGCCTCACGTTAAGGAAAAACAAAAATGAAGGCTATTTGTAATAGGGAAATAGAAAAATCTGCTACTATGTTATAGTTTACTGCATGTACCTATTGTTTGACGTCTACAAGCAATACTGTGACTAGTCCTTTGCCCACTGCTTGCATTTCCTTGTGCACAACCTCCATAGTTTTCCACTTACAGACCCTATTGGCACACAATTAAACAACAATCTTCCCAGCCACCCATGTCAGCTATTTAAATATTTTGAGTGTGTCTATTTCTGTTGTTAGGCCTTTAGTCTATGTCTACACTTACAACCAGTTACACCCGATTTCAGTTAGCATTTTACACATAGCCTCAGCCTTTTAGCCTCCTTGGGATGGATGTGTTTCCATTCCTATTCGTTAGTGCTTTATTTCAATCTCTTCACGCCTGCTCACAACAATCTTCCTATAAGATTATATGTACATGTAGTGTAATTTATGTGTTAATTACAGTACCTGTAAAAGTCTATTTCGTGTAGACATCAAATAGTCCAAAGACTGCTACTGGGCACTGCCATCTTGGATATGATGTCAGCTGCTCCAACAGACTCAGAGTTGCTACTCAAGTTATTCTGTAACAACTCGTTCACACTATGTCTTTCTTGAGAAGAGGAGATTAACCCCTTTGACACCAATCGCACGCAAATATGCGACCTCTTGGCGTCTGGGCCTTGACGCTGAGCGGCTGCATATTTGCATGCAATTAGAAAATACATATGTGCTGAGAGCGTGCACCCTGTAAGCTCCCAGCACATATGTCCGTGACTCACGGAAAGGTCCTGATCTCCCCTTTCAATCGGGACCTTTTCCAATCATGTGACGCTGAGTCACGGCAGTCACATGACCCTAAAACCCCGCCCCACCGCCCAGCTTCTGAAATTCTTAAAGGGCCAGCGCGAAGAAGTTATGGGGAGATATGATCAACATGTATAAAGACTTCAGTGGCTCATATAGTGAACTTGGTGTAGAGTTATTCACCTTGAGGTCATCACAGAGGACAAGGAGGAACTCTTTACGTCTGGAGGAAAAGAAGTTTAATTTCCAAACATGGAAAGGTTTCTTCAGTGAGAGCTGTGAAAATGTGGAATAGACTTCCTCAAGAGTTGGTTCTGGCCAGCTCAGTGGATTGCTTTAGAAAAGGCCTGGACTATTTCTTAGATACACAGAATATAACTGGATACTAACATTTATAGGTAAAGTTGATCCAGGGAATATCCGATTGCCTCTCAGGCAAGGAGTTTTTTCCCCTGCAGGAGCAAATTGGATTGTGCTTTGCTGGGTTTTTTTGCCTTCCTCTGGATCAACTGTGCGTATAGGTTTATAACTTTTTTTTTTTTTTTTTTAACCACTTGCCTACCAGGCACTTATACCCCCTTATTTACCAGGCCAATTTTCAGCTTTCAGCGCTGCCGCACTTTGATTGACAATTGCGCGGTCATGCAACATTGTACCCATATGAAATTTTGATCATTTTTTTCTCACAAATAGAGCTTTCTTTTGGTGGTATTTAATCGCCACTGGGCACTTTACTTTTTGCGCTATAAATTAAAAAAGTGCAAAAAATGTGAAAAAAAAAAAAAAGTTTCTTTGTTTCTATTATAATATTTTTCAAACAGGTATTTTTTCTCCTTCACTGATGTGCGTTGATGAGGCAGCACTGATGGGCACTGATAGGCGGCACTGATGGGCACTGATAGGCAGCACTAAAGGGCACTGATAGGCAGTACTAATGAGGTGGCACGGATAGGCGGCACTGATAGACAGCACTAATGAGGTGTCACGGATAGGCGGCACTGATAGGTGACACTGATGATGGGTACTGATAGACGGCACTGACTGGCATCACTGCTGGGCACTGACTGGCGGCACTGACTGGCACAACCCCTGGGCACTGACTGGTGGCACTGACTGGCAGCACTGCTGGGCTGCACTGGTGGGTGGCACTGGTGGGCAGCACTGGTGGGTGGGCACAGGTGGGTGGCACTGGTGGGCACAGGTGGGTGGCACTGCTGGGCACAGGTAGGTGGCACTTCTGGGCACAGGTGTGTGACACTGCAGAGTGGCACAGGTGGGTGCACTGCTGGGCACAGGTGGGTGCACTGCTGGGCACAGGTGGGTGATCTGCTGGGCACAGGTGGGCGGAGCTAGTGGGTGCACTGCTGGGCAAAGGTGGGCGGAACTTGCGGGTGGCATTGCTGGGCACTGATCATCAGGGCACTGATCATCAGTGCCCTGATGATCGGTGCCGATCCCCGCTCTGACAACTGCCGGTTCTCGGCAGTACTTTCCTCACGATCTGACAGCGTGAGGAAAGTGCAGCCGAGAACCGGCACTTGCATTTCCCTGTGATCAGCGTGTCATTGGACACCGCTGATCACGTGGTAAAAGGCCGGTATGATTGGCCTTTTACCACATCACGTGATCAGCTGTGTCTGTAGGACACAGCGATCACGGAGATCGCCGGGTGCGCGCCCCCTGGGGCGCGAAGGAGAGCGCGTTCTGGGAGGACGTCATATGACCTCCACTCAGAACTGGCCGGCCGCAGTTTAGCCGTCATTCGGCTATCTGCGGTCGGCAACTAGTTAATGGTTGAACTGGATGGACTTTTGTCTTTTTTCAGGCAGACTAACCATGTAACTCTGTATGTCCCTGGAGCTGCTTTTAAGGGTTGGTTCACATTTACCAAAAATACTGCCTATGCAGGTAAGGGGTGCCTGTAGATAAACACAAACTGTGCAGCTTTAAGCCTTGTACACACAATGAATATATCGGATGAAAAGTACCACTTTCGGAGCAACTGTCCGATAATCTGATCATCAGCTTTCGAGAGCCGACCACGACAGTTCATGTGAAAATATCCAAAGAGACAAGCACAACATTTTTTCTCTTGCAATAATAGAACAAATGATTTTCGTATAATCAGTACAGTATTTCTTCATAAAAAATCGAGTGACCAAGATCGCACATGATCGGAAACAATAGAATACAATACAATAAAGTACATCACTTCTGACGTTGTAATCTCTTGAGAATTTTTCATAACTTTACTGACCTTTTCATTTTCGATATGAGACTAGCATGCATAAAAATTTGAAGATCATTCATCCGATATTCTCATCGTGTGTACTAGGCTTTACAAATGGTTGAGTAATGTTTGTGTTCTAGGTGTAGGCCATTTATGTACCTCCCAAAGCCTGTAGAGGAAAAAAAAAACCCCAGAGGTGACATACACTGTCTTGCCTTGCTGCCAGCACATTCCATAGATGCTTCCAGCTGCTACAGCTTGTCCCCAGGGCCGACACCACCATAAAGCAGCTTAGGCAGCCACTTTAGGGTGCCAGCATGGGGGGGGGAGGTAAAATTCAAATCCTGAGTCACTTACTGGGGGTTTGGATTTCTAAAATGCCTGCATACCTCTTGGTCTTGGATTCTGCTCCACTCAGTGGGTGTATTCTGATCCCACATGTCCCTGCCTCTCCCTCCGCCACCCCCCCAATCTTCTTTTCTGTCATTTGTTGCTAGGACATCCTGCTTCCTAGCAACTGATGATGTGCCTTGCAGGCACCCTTCTTAGGAAAAAGCTATGTGCATGCAAGCGGCTTCAGGACCTCTCAACTCTGGCTCCCATTTCCTGCCTTCCAGTAGCTCTCACCCATAAGGGGTACTGAATGACTGCATTTTGTGGTGGCAGCTAAATGAATTCATTGGAGGACACTTGTTCACATCTCCTACCAAATATCCCTGTGTCACCAGCACAAAGGGAGCCAGAATCACTCACTGCTGGCAGCATGCAATACACTTGGAGCACCTAAGAAAGCTTCCCCAAAGCTTGTAAACAACAGAAGGGGAGAAGCCTGGTGGATGAAGATATTCAGATGCTGAGGTACATGTTGGAAGAGGGGATTGGGGAGAGGGCATAAGAGGATTTATGCTGGGGGGATAGTTGTAGGAGCACTGGGGGGGATTTGCTTAGCAAATAGGGAATGAGAGAAATTTTGCTAGAAGGTAGGTGGGGGTAATTATTGCTAAGAGAAACTAAATGGATTTGTTGTGAGGGAAGGGGGATTTGGCAAATTAATTTGTGTATGTGTGGGTGCTTATAGGAGGGATTTTGGGGGGTAAAATAAAAGGATTTATGCTATAAAGAGGGGTTTGGAAGACTTTTGCTTGGATGGGGCATTTTGAATGGTAAGATGATTCTTGGTAGAATGAGGGGTTAAGGGGGGGGGGATTTGTGCTGGGATGGGGAATTTGGGTGGGGGGATAAGAGAATTTGTACTAGAAGGAGGGATTGGGGGGGGGTATTTGTGTTGTAGAGATGATTTGAGAGAGATTTGTACTAGAAGGGGGGAACTGGGGGAGTGTTTGGTGAGGAGGCATATTTATAATAGAAGGGGGAGCGGATTTATGCTGGAAAGGGGAATTTGGAAGGGGGAGGATTTTGTGCTGCGGAGAGAGATTTGGGGGGATTTTGAGAGGAAGGAGATTTGTGCTAGAAGGGGAATTTGGAGGAATGGAAGAGGATTTGGGTGAGGGAATTGTGCTGGAAGGGGGATTGGGATGGAGAAGATCTATGCTAGAAGGGGGAGAGGATTTGTGCTGTGATAGATGAGTGTGCAGATTATTGCAGGAGCCAAGATTCAGACCCTACCCTCTGAAGCTAGAATTGATTAAGTGACTGCTTATAAAGTCTTGCTAAATATACTTATTTCATTCTCCTGTTGTCTTTATGTAATAAATGAATGACTAACAGAGAAATGTTTTAATTAATTTCTTTGTTAAACTCAATATTGAAACAGAAATACAAGTACAGTACAGTATGTGAACTGTTTCATTTGACAAACATTCAGCCTGTCTAGTAAACCAGACACCTTGGCCAGACAGTACAGCCAGGTCCTGGAGCTACCTGAACACTGCACTGCAGTAGAGAAATACAGTTTTGCTCAGGACATTTGTCAAACCTTTGACTGGATAATGACAAAGCAGCTACTTCCAAGCCCCCGCCTCCCTAGTCTGTATTGTCATTTCCTTGCGTCCTACTTTCATTTCCATAATGACCCAATGCTACCTTCTCCCTTCCAGTACTTTTCCATCTCAGCTCTGATTCACTATTATGTCAAAACAACATATTCTGACCCGCTTAGAATCTGAAACACAAATGTAACTATTGTATTTTAGATCATTTTATTGTAGTCACCCTGTTTACTGAAATAAACCCTTGTAACCCAAGTTAATCCCACTGCTCTCGCCCCCTGAAAGCATATGGGATGGAAAAGATCTATATGTTTTCTTTGAGGGGGGTGCATATTTTTGCTGAAAGGGTAAAGTGGGGACAGTATTGTTTGCAGGGGGAATTCTCCTGACCCCTACACTGTACTTTACATGCTTCTGCACTCTTTTAATTTTGTTCTCCTGACCCTACTGTGCATTAAACGCTCCTGTCCTCATGCGTTCTGTGCAGTTACATATTACTGACCTCAGCACTTTGTGCATTACATACACTGGACCCCTTCATTCTGCGTGATGTATTTCTAAACCAACAATGACTTCAGCATTCTGTGCATTACATACTTTCTGATCCTTGAACACACTGCATTACACACCCCTGACCCCTGCACTCTGCCTTACATACTCCTGCACTGTATACTCTATATTGTACATTAATTGTCACCAAAGCGTTCATTATCTCCACAGTTGTTGGTTACTAAACAGTCCCTGACTATCTTATTGAAGTTATTTTTTATGGTCGGCTTAGACAAAGTGTTATCTCTTTGTCTATTTTCAGTGTGTGCAAAGCCATTTGCAATGGAAGTGTTGTTTTATTTTTTTTAATGATTGTGCTGGGGTTTATATGTGTTTGTGAGTCTCCTGTTTGTGGCACAGCACATTTTGTTGGTACAAAGATGGCTGGGTTTTAACTATGCCTCTTAAGCCCCTCCCACTGTTAAAAGTTTGGCCACACCCACTTTTTGGCGCAGCATGCTTCATGCGCCGCAGGTTGTCACCACCATCAAGTGTCCCCCATTCTCAAGTTCTAAAGGTGGAAGGTATGTACCTGTCTTTCTTTACCTAACACTATACCCTCCTACCTACCAGGCGCAGTGTGGAAGTTTTAGTTTGCCTCACCTGCCTGTTGTCTGTAGCCAGTGAAGGGAAGTGGGAATGCATAACTCCTGCCCCCTCATTGTTGAACAATGTTATAAAATTGTTCTGTCCCCCTTTGTAATGTACAGCGCTGAGTGAACTATCGGCGCTTTATAAATACTGTATAATAATAATAATAATAAAATGCACTTTACAAGACCACAAATAGCTTTTGCTGTTTTTTTCTTGTAAGTTAAGCACTCAATGCCCAAGAACCTCTATAGTTTAATGGCGCACTAATAAAGTGTATGCCATATGGGGGTGGGGGGGCCACCAACATGTAACTTTGCCTGTGTTGACAAAAATCTTTGTCCCCACCATTACACAAGCTTTTCCAGATTCAAACCCTCTTGCATAAACTCTGTCATGTCTTAGTAGCTTTGAGCTCAGCAATGTTGCGATGGAGGACATAGTGAATCGCACATGTGTGGGGGTTTGAGATCTCACTGCTGTGATGGGGGGGGGGGGGGGGAGCAGTAACAGTTGGGAGTGTCTTAGCAACTTCCTAGCAACAAAGCTGCATAGGATGATGTCATTTCTTGGAGTTTTCCATTCAGTTACATAGATGGTCTACACCTATAGCAAGGTTTTATCCAACTTTAGTCAAGCACACAGTTTGTTTTTATCTACAGGCATCTCTTACCTGCATAGGCAGTTTTTCAGTAAAGGTGTCCTAACCCATTATATATACGTGATTTTGCATTTCCGGGTAGGGGGCACCTTTGATGATTACCGGTGATTACCGAGCATCTTCGACGGGGAGGAGGACTTTTTTGTTTACTAACAGTTCTCCTCCCTTTCAGCTCTGGCACACTGCTCTGGATGGCTATGTACAGTACAGCTATCCAAAGCAGTGTGCTTACAGTGAAGCACACTGACACGGCCCCCTAGTAAAACACTCCCTGCACACAGTTAACCCTTAGATCGCCCCTCATATTAACCCTTTCCTGCCCAGTGTCATTAGTACGGTGTCAGTGCTTTTTTTTTTTTTTTTTTTTTTAGAACTGATCACTGTATTGGTGTCACTGGGGATGTCAGTGACACCAAGTCAGTTCCCCGCAGTATCAGAATGTCTTCCGCAGTCCCGCTATAAGTCACTCATCATCGCCATTACTAGTAGAAAAAAAAAATTCCATTATCTATACCACTATTTGGAAAAGCTATAACTTTCATGGAAACCAATTAATTTACACGT